TCCACTTTGTAGGCATGCTTGCCATAGCATTTGATAATATACTATATAATACTTAATAAAGGACACTTTCTTTATTTTGATTCTAAAAATACATACATGCATTCTTTCGTATTGCCAAATCATACAACTATACTAAACCCTCTCGTTAAAATACATACTTACGACTTTAATAAACCATTACACGGTTTTTGTGTCTCGTGTTCACGTGACTCCCTGTTATTAGTCGAACCGTTAACCTCGTTTTGAGAGGTAACACGCAGGTTAACAACAGTAATTTTAATTTTATTATTGACAAATAAATTGCTAGTGACGTATAAGTTACTGTCACGTACGTGACAAATAACGTTGCTCTAAATTTTGTTTGTTTTTAGAGACAAACCAAATTTTGTAAATTAGTATAATAAATTTTTTTTAAAATAGTATTTTTTATGAAAATTTAAAGCTTTCTACATTATATAACAAAATGTCATATTATATCTGTATAATGAAGATTTAATTATGTGACATATGTGACCAATAAAATTAATAGAATAGTTAACATACTCAACTATATTTGTTAAATTAGATTTTTGGTAAATAAATCTATTATTATCTCAATATACTGTAGTGAATATTTATATATCTTCACTATGTTGAGAGGCTTTCAATATAGTGAGTCTCTCGATATAATGAAGAAATTTTCACAGCCCAAGTGCTTCACTATAATGAGAGTGACTTTTGAAATAAAACTGTATCACAATAAGATGAAACCGTTTAACCGCCTTATCAGTTTATAATTCCGGGTTAAATTACGCTAATCATTGGCTAAATTATCGAGAACGGCATAGCGAACTGAATTAAAACGTTAACGATTAGATTATGAACAGAAAGGCAACGTCACAATAATTATGCCTATCGCTATGAATTTTAAGGTAATTAGATGTTATGCAGTAATTAATCCCATCATACGCTGTAATGCCGTAATTCATAATTTTACCATCAATTATAAAAACTATTGTAATATAAGATTATTATTATTACTAAAGGTGACACATTGGTACAACTTAGTTACGACAATAAAAAGGTAAATTGTGAAGATTCAATATTATTTTTTTTTTATCAATTGAATGTTATACAGACTATATTAACTATCAGTTTTTTAGGTATAATGTTCGATTATGTATACGAAAATAAATCCGATTCCCAAACCCAAATTACTAGTAATATCGTAAATTAAAAGGAAGATTTTGGTCGCATCCCTAACCCTGAACCTTGCGTAATCATAAGCTGGTTCCCTAACCCAATCGGAGTCATCATAGGGGTTTCTAAAGTCAATGCAACAAATTTAGTACAAATGCGATATAGATCATTTAACATGTTCTTAAAATTGCTCAAAACTAAGTGCCCTTTAAGAACGTATATATCAATATTTATACTAACCACTTTCACTCTGCTCGCGTTCCTGTTCTCGTTTTGTCCTTTCAGAATTAGCCTTCTCTAACATATCCACCTAAATAGGTTAACAATTGTTAAGTTTTATTACATCACTTATAAATCGCTGAATAAACATGTTTAAAAGCATACCTTAGTAGAGAATTCACGCATAACTTGAATTAAATATGGCATAGCAAAGTCAGAAAGACCGTGCTTCCAAGCCAATTCCAAGACTACATCAGGACGGGCAAGGTCATAACATGTATAAAGACATGCTGTAAAACATTCTTTATTACCAATCTGCACAAAATATTCCAAAAGTTCTTCAACAATTTCTGTCGATCGAGATTCACTAGCCGTTTCAATGGCATCTTTGAAAAGGCGGTCCTCTTTAGATAAAGAAATAGACTGCTCCCAGCGCTTGTTCTTTTTATATAGATGAGCTGCAATGCGCCGAAATTCAAGAAGCTCATGTTTTTCGAGTCTTTTGGCAAGACCAATGTTGTCAAATTTATCAAAGCTATCAATGGAATCACGTAAAGATTTATAATCTTCTTCTTCAATTAATATATCATTATAAGCCTCGTTCACGGCTTCATTATTTATCTAAAATTATTATTAAAAAATAATCTTCAGTATTGCATGTAAGATGCGACAAAATCATCAAAATACTTACTCCTTGAACAGATATCAAATATGATTTGATTAATGGTAAGTTATCAGCTTTATGGAACATTTGAACAACCCTAGTGTGATCAACTCGCGGAGTGAGAGAAACCAACAAGTCATTAAGGAGGAGGGGATGTTCATCCATATAGAATTTTAAAGCCTACGAATCAAATAAAAAATTATAATTTGCTAAAAGAAGAAATTAGCTCATCGAACAACCGACCTTATAATAAATTTCAACATTGCTGACTTTAACAATAATGTCCTTAAAACGAGAATGATCCCAAGCATCTGATGCGTGATTCATCATTGCAAGAGCTGCGTTATCAAATTCGTCATAATTTTCATATAAAAAAACCATTTCCTTCCACAAATGAGCTTCATCGCAAGCTCGAATAACTTTTGAAATGTTAAGGCGAGACCAAAATAGACGAAGGTGCTCATCTGTTTTTTCCGGACGATATTTAGTATATAAGATCGCCAATTCAGTAAACATTCCCATATGAGCTCTCTCCAATCCAAGACCCGCTTCAAGCAAAGATAAAATTTCATCTATGTAACCATTATATTCATATCGGCGAATTATATCCTATAATTATAAATGATAAGTCAGCTGTTTATATAAACGATCGATACTATTATATTTGTATCTAAAAGATAGCATATAAAACATACTTGTAATTCTTCAGCATGAACAATTAAACTAAGACCGCATATATGTGCAAGACGAAATTCTTTATGTTGTACACAAGCATCATGAACATCTTTCCAAACCCTAAATATAGAGATTATATTACCATCAAATGTAATAAAAAGTTTGCTCGATAACAATGCAAGCATTCAAATAGAATTAATTACTTTGTACTGCTGGCCTTACGTGCACCGTCAACAGCAGCCTGGTATTCTCCCAAATGCACAAGTGTGGAGGCTAACCGAGCCCAATTTGAAATACTTTGGAACAATATTCTAGCTGCTGCATACAAGCCATCATCATAACATCGATCTCCAACTACTTGTATTTGCGCTACATTGGGCGAATTAAGGAAATCTTCAAGATCGGCGAATCTTTCAGTTTTTGCATATGCGAACAACAGCTCACTATCAACAACGGGTTCACGAAGCTTCTTACGACACATTTGCAAATATTTAACAAGTTCTTCATGTTTACCAGCGCGTGAAGAAATATCTATAACCTCATTAAAGTTACTTGGATCATCGGCACGAATATATGATTCTAAAAACAATATGAATTTTAAACATAAGAATTAGATAACAATAGAAAATGATGTATAATTTATGGGAAACCTACCAATTGAATCTTTAATTCTTAGACCTTCAATTTGTGCTTTAGCCAAACGGCTCCAAACTTCTGGATTATTACAATTTTCTGCAAATTCAGATGCCCGGTCGATGCTACCAATATGTTCTATCAGCACATTAGTGGCGCTAGTATTTTCACCATATTTTTTATATATTGTAAAAGCTTCTTCATAAAGTCCATTTTTAACAGCAATATCAGCAACATCTGGAGCATCAAAATTATTGAGTTTATTTATAAAATCCATCACTTTGGATTTATCAGCCTGAAACGTAGGAGAATGAGATGAGATGGTTATAATACAAATAAATAAATAATTAATTTTTTTCGTAATAATTTAGAGTGACTTACTTTAATAGCCGTGAGAATTAAAAGATTTTGAAGAGTTCGATTATCACTGAAGGCCGTATTGTCCAAAATAAGCTTTTCTAATAACTCTATTAATTCGATTGGTAAATCAGCAGCCATAAATGCTTTAACAGTAACAGAAACATCTTCTGGATCAATAGACTCTGGGAGAGCCACAGCATTGATCTAGTAAATTAAATAGTTAATACAATATAAATGAGCTTTAACATAGTAAAATCGAGCTTCAAATATAGTACCCACCTGATCAATAAGAGATCTACGGTACATATTATTTTGATCCAGCACGTGTTCCCAAAGCGTTAGATCACGACGTTTTATCAAATAACGAGCTTGATGTTTAAACATGGAGTTTTCATTTGTAACTTTGACAAGCTCATAATCACATTGTCCACGTTGATAGGCGATAAAGGCAAGATATGGATCACGCTTTTCACAGTATTTACCAATTGCTAAGGAATCGTAAAGCTAATAATAATAAGCAAAATTCAGATTAATTAGGTGATTTTTTTGAATTAAATATATTAATATAAAACTAGACCTACCGTGTTTTCTCGGAGAAAAGCTTCAGGATTATTATTGCTATCAATATATATCTTGGCTAAAGCATTAAAAACAGCTGAATCTTGAGAACCTTCATTAACACGCTGTTCTAACCAGGGCAGAAGCAGCTTAAGACGATTGCGTTTTTCTACCTCCTGAACAAGTTGATCAACGGGTACATGGCCAGTAACAGACGATAAAAGATTTTTGATAACTATTTCATCACAGTCAACATCAAGAAGGCCACCCACTACTGCAGGAGTGCGGGCAGAATTAACTTTCTGAACGTAGACTTCTATATACTTTGTCATGTTCTGCTGGTACAAGTATAGAACTAAATCATGAACAAAATCAAATCGATCACACACAATTATCAAGGGAAGTTGATCTGCGAGCTTAGCTTCCTAAAAAAAAAAAATCAAGAAAATATATTAAATAAGTAATAAATTTAATTAAGCATATTTGATACGTAAACATTTGAACATGCCTTGAGGAAGTTTTTCACTTTTTCTGGATCATAATACTGGCTCTCTCGACATATTCTTTCTACTTCTTTAATTTGACCAGTTTTTACAGCGGCCTGAATATATTTAAAATGCACATCAGGGTCCGTACTAAGGTTGACAATTGAGCCAAGATAATAATAAAGACCTAAGAAAATCAAGAGTTGGTTAAATTGTACTGAAAATAGAAATAATGTTAAACTTAATAGGAAAGCAAGTACCTTCATATGTCTTAAATGACTCAAACAATTGAATCAAATTCAAAGGTTGCAATTGCTCTGAATATTTGGTGGCAATTTGCACAACTATTTGCAAGTTCTGTCTGATGTTTACTTTAAGCATTTCGTTCAAAACCTCTAACGATTGGTCGACAGACAAATTACCAAAATAATTGGTGACAAACTGTAAATTGATAACAAAAAATTATCAATAAAGCTAAACTGAAACTTACAATGAACGAATAATTATACTCACATCAGTATTTAATGATGGGGTATGAACGATAACTCGTTTAATATCGTTGATATCAGTGTAATGTTCTAACGCCTTATAACATAAAAATATTAGTAAGCGAAAATCAAATGTATGATTAGATGTGGAGAAATTTAATCAATTAAAGCCTTACTCTTTGTAGTAGCCCAGCTCTTTCACAAAGTGAGGCAATAGAAGGTTTATCATAATAACTAAACATTTCATTTCCAAGAATTGCGTCTGCAACTTGTGGGGCATGCATAAGATTCATTTCAAGTAATCGAGTTTGTAAATGTGCTTGTTCTGGCTTGTTGTCTTTTAGAGCATCCAATAAAAACGATGTCGCTTGTTGAATCAAATTTTGTGACATAAAAACATCAACGATCTTAAAAGAAAAAAAGTTAATTACAATTCTTCGTTATGTTTAAGATACTTAATAAAATAACTTACTCGTTCAATATCGATTAAAGGCCCACTCTCATCAGTAGCCAACATAGCAGCGAATTCTCCACCTTTATCAGGATCAAGTCGCATAATTTTTTGCAGAAGAGCAGGATAATCTGGTTGAAATCCGACCTTTTTCGCGTAAAGGACAATCTTGGAATATTGACCAGTCTCGGCAAAACACGCAATGACCTGAACAGTGTATAATGTCAGTGCGATTAATATAATAATAATAACAAAATAAATATAAGCCATTGCGAAGCATACCTTATTTGGGACATTGGCACGAAGATATACTGATAATGCTAACGTAAGATCATGTTGGCGAACAATGTCACCGAGTTCCTCACTACATTCTAACTATGAAGATGAATACCAATTTAAAATCAGGAATTTTGATCTACATAATTCGCCGCATTGGTTACGCAGGTGATGTGTAATAGATAAATACCTTATCTTCTTTTAACCACTTTTCAAGTAATTGTTTGCGTCCTTGTGCTAAGACAGGTCTTGCAAGTTCAAGCGATTCATATTTATTGAGCTCTCCTTTTTCCAAAATGATACCGAAATATTGTAAGATAGGCGATAGCGTGCCAGGCTGTACAGGGACTGATTTGAATCGCTCAATGGTTTGTTGTGTACGAAGAACGCCCTATAAAGAAATATATAAAGCAAGGCTTTAGCTTCAAAAAAAATAAAAAATAAAAAAATGTTTATTTCAGGAACATACCCTCGGTCCGTTTGCAGCAACTTTAGCTGCTTCATTATACTGTCCGGCTTGATATAGATCCATAAACTTTTTAACATATAATTCTTCGGCTCCTGGCAAATTGCATCTTGTAGCAATTCTCACAGCTAGGTCTGGATTATTAAGCGTCGTCATTATATAAGGAATTATATTATTATCATCCACACATACAGATAGAACCTAATTAAAAAAGTGTTAGATAATGAAAAATAAATATAACATTAATTTGCACGTTGCTTACCTGGCCCTTTCGATTGACTCCAATAATCCCACTTGTTGCTTCATGTTCAGCAGTCACAAAAATTGTTTCACCACTTATTCTGTTCATATAGATACATGTACCAGTCTCCAAATCATATAGGTGGATATAACCAAATTTGGTAACAAGAAAAATTATATTATATTTTTTGCTAACTTGCATAGCAACAGGAAAATCAGTATTAGCTTCCGCAGGGAAAAAGACATCAACCGTTCTTTTAGGAAATTGCGGATTTTCATCTTTATGATCAATTTCAACTATGTGTAACTATATATGAAATGAAGAAAAATGAACATTTTGTCAATTAGAATAAATGTGTTTACAAAATTAACGTGGTTTCTGGTTAATAAACCCAGTCTGTCTCAAACTAATTAGTTAGCGTTAATCTACTCTCGAATTTAAATAATATAATATAAGATTAACATCAAACTCTGGTAATTTTATTTATTTCTATGGTACTCTACGGGAACGAAAAAAACGTTGGCAATGGCATAAATACATACTTTTGCGCCAGCTGGATTTCGTACAGCGAATGTAAACAACCTCGTAGGGGAAACACCATTTTCTAATGTTAGAGTGGAGAATGCAGCAGCATGACCCTCAATAGGCTGACTGACTTGACGTTCTTTAGAAAACAATTGCATGTGACCGGCAACCCTTCCCTCCTACATAATCAGAATACCCTTAAATAATTCAACCAATTATAAAGTATCTAAGAAATAAATTGTATTGATACAAACCACAGCTGATATACCAACAAGCACCATCCATTTTTCATCCGAATTCACACGATAATTAATCACTTGGGCATTCTGCAAGCTCGCATGCCTATCAAATACCTTAGTTGGCGTGGATTCGCCATCCATAGACCAATGATAAACAGCAGTTCCTGTTACAAGGCCAAGGGTTTTGACGTTTATCCATTTCCAAAAAACAACATCCTCATGCATATTGTGAGACTTGACTTTTGATTTCAGTTCAAGATTGAAAATTTGAAGCTGCCTCTGAGCTATATCCATCATATAAAAAAAAATTGATTGTGAGCAAATTAACAACTGAAAGTGTGAAACAAAAAAACTGACCTTTTAGTGCAAGAATTTTGCTTGTTGGATGCATTATTGCGGAATCAGCAGAAATTGGTCGCTTCATTACGTTTTGAAGATCATTAAGATCGATTATGACGACCTGATTTGATCCTCCAGCTGTTTCACGCACACATATAAAACGGTCTGACTCCATAGTCAACCAATTGAACCCTATGTTTGCCGAGTTAACTCCTAGGTCTTGGAGCTATTAACATCAAAGTTATTTGGAAAAATTGCAACACACATTGCAAAGATGATTAGAAAAATTTTTATGAATCAAGGAATTAATACTTTTGTGCATTACATTTTTTGCTTTACTACAAACGGCGGCGATACTCTTCACACACTGTAGCAAGATACATATCGCGTACCTGGCAATACTCCTGAAATCTTATCGGAAGATCAACCATTATAATATTCTATTGTGTAGCGCCAGTCAAAGTTTGTTAAAAGAAAAGAAAAAATTAAGTTGCTTTTTACAAAAAAAAAAAAAAATTTAGTTTGAAGGCTTAGAAACCAGGATTCAAGTTACTTCAAATCCAATCAAAGTTTGACAAATCTTATAGTGTTTATTAAAGTTACGATCATAATATATTTTTGTTGACGTTAGGGTGATCGGATGGATTGAATCGGACTAACTTAGTAAACCATAATTAACCAATTAGTGTAGCTATGATTGTATAACCTACGGCCCGGGCGCCATTTAAATCTCTATTTATTTGAAGGTTACAACTATCGCACCTAAACACCTTACTTCCCCCTAGATTCTTTTTAATGTAACCACACCAGCAGCATGTTTTACTTGTATATGCTTCAGAGACGGACGTTATTACGATTTTTCCGATTTTTCCATATTCTTTCATTTTAGAAATTAAGCGATTTCTAAAACTTGCATGTTTACTGTTAATTAAATGTTGGTAGGATTATTACGTCAAAAAGTTTTATGTATCTGTAGTATTATGAGTTAGAATATAAAATGTAATCAATTAGTTGGTTGAATATTTTATATGTATAATTTAATAAATAACAATATACTAAATTTAAATCTTACCTCACGTATGAGATTTTGGATTCGTTTCCTTAAGCGGGATTGAGCGCAATTACGTTGCCTTGGTGGTACGTGAAATAAGATCATTAATAAGAATAAGTCCTAATCGGAAAATCCGATTTATATCTCTATCTCTAAAGTTTCCGTGGCTAATACTTGGAGAATACCGAGTAGGAAAGGTTTGAACTCCAGGACTATAGATGCTACGTGAATAAAGTCTGTTTGGTTTTTGCAGACTTCTTTGTCATAGACCCAGATAAAACTCCATTGCTTTAATTTTTTATTATATGTTAATTTCGAATCCAATTTCACAGTTCCTTCTTTATATGTATAATAATAATAATAATAATAATAATTAGCATAAAAATAATTAATTATATACAGTAGAATATATATATAATATAATAATAATAATAATTACTTTTTTTGAATTAAAATTTAATTTATGCTTTGGTGGTTTATTTTGCTTTTGTAACGTTTTATAACTTCGTCACGGGCTAAAATTGCATTTGTCATAGATTCATCAAGCACGGCACTTCCATAAATGACCACTCTTTTGTCGTGTTAATATGATGTTTAAGTAAAATATGGAAAAAGAATAGGTTAGTATTTCTATGATTATGCTTATAATTTGCAACCACCATATTATAAACAAGCCGAGCACAACTTATCCACTGTTTTAATAAATCATTTTGAGCTTTATTAGGATAAATACAGATTTTAATTGAACATACTGTTGATTCCTTTTTTTGCTGCTTTGCCCATTGTGTTGACTGAACCTTCTTTTTTCTTTTGCCCTTATTTGTTTCACAACCGCTATTATTATTATTAACATTTGTATTTAGTTGTGTACATTTAATTTCAAGATGATTCATATTGGATTTTGGTATTAAAGTATGCAAAAACCAAGATCCTTTATTTGAGTGACTTAATGAAAGTGAATCATTCACACTTGGTAACCATGATTTTCTTGTGACTTGGTTATTCCAGTAAGGAACAACACAGTTGGTTTCCATAGTAATATTATATTCATAAAGTAAAATAATAGCATAGTTTTAAAGTAATTGGTAACAAATATAGTAACTTGAAAAAAATTTTTATAAAATAGTAAGTTTTATTAAAAAAAAAAATTTTTTTTTCTTAATCATGTATTTATATTTATTTTTTAAAAAAGTATTATATTTTTATTATTTATTAAACTAGCTGTTTGCCAAATATTAATCTATTAGTAGATACAGTATATTGTTTTTTTTTTTTAAGCAATTCTGCCTTTATTTATATAACTACTATATGACTATTATACAAAATTGTACTATATTCTTACAGTGTAATGTTTTAATCTAATAAAGACTCACCAGGTATTTACCCAATGTGACCTGCTATAACAACTATTTATTTCTCTTAGAAATCTTAACTTGCTAAGAATTTTGTATTAAGTATTGACATACCTCTTGGTTATTAATTGGCTGTTATATATCATATCAAAATTGCTTAACCTTTTTCTCACACTTTGCTCAGCAAGAACTATGCTGGCTTGTTACTTCAAGAAATTCATTCTTTAACTATCTTATCCTTATTTTTTATTAATTTAAGATTTTTTTCTTTTTCTTCTCTTTTTGCTTTTTTACCTTTCTTTCTACTATTTTCAGAGTTTTGGGGTTTTTGTTTCTTTGTCATCTTTATTATTACTACTTAATTTTCTTTTCTTTACTTTTTCACTTTTCTTTTTCTGAGTTATTTCATTTCTTTTTTCTTAGTCCATAACTAACTTATATTGAAAGCTCCAAACATGCTTGTAGAACTAGTATTAGTAATAAAGCAGTATAGCTTGAATGTATTTGTTGATATCTTTTACTTTATCAAACAATGTATAGATGCTATTCTATCTTTGTTTTGAGACTAGGTCTTTCATTAATTTCTTTCTTTCTTACTATAATCTTTTTTTGTGGGTCCTTACCAAATATTGCTTCTCTTATTTTCTGCATATTAGTTATTTTAAGTTCTTTCTGCTTTTACTTTAAATAGATTACTTTCTTCTCTTTCTATAATGTTCTAAAGATACTAATATTCAAAGCACTTAGCTAGATGATCTCTGTCTTATACTAGCATATTTTGCATATGTTCTCACATCAGCAAATTATATAAACGTAATCTTACGTAATATATTACGGCCCGTAATATTGTGCAAGAATTACGGTCTGGACATAATATTGCGCAATTTATTAGTAATATTACGCAATTTATTACGGAGTATTATGCAATTTATTATGGAGTATTACGCAATTTATTACGGAGTATTACGTAATTTAGTACAGAGTATTATGCAATTTATTTCGAAATATTTCGAAATATCGAAAGAATTTTATTACCGGCGATGGTATCACGTAATGAGTAAATTACTTG